TCAACTCTCTCAATTAATTTTGAAGTGTCATCCCTAAGTGACAATTGCAATTGATCACCTATCTCTATTTTAGATTTATTTTTAGTCATGGTATCTTCATTAAAGATAATAGAGTCCTCGGCATAATAAGTTGAGTAATGATTAATGCCGATGAAGTCGATACTGCCCTTTATATAGTTCACTTCTTCAGGAGAGAAGGTAGGTAATTTGTTTCCATGGTAATGCCGCATTTCTGGAGGGTAATCTCCACATACTAGGGGATCAAATACCCTGTTTCACAATGGTAAATAACTACTTGTGGGTCAAAAATCTTTTCTGTCATCACTGCATCGATAAAAGATGTAAGTGAAATCCATTAAATCAAAACAATAGTAAAACTTGACATGTTAAAAAAATTTAATTACACAAATGTGATCATCATAATAATGACTTAATTCTGAAAATTTTCTAGAGTAGTATTAAATATGAGCGATTTTTATCACCATTTCATTTGAAGCAAGATATGACACTACATTTTTTTTTTAATTATATTTCCAAGCACAAACCAATAGCTATTATCCAATTAGGTAGACATCAACAAATGGCGGTTGTCCACACGTAGATGACCGGACTATCCACCAACCAAATCCTTGTATTGCTTTTGGACTCTTGCGTAATGTTTTTTGAAAAGTTTTTATTTAGTTTTCACAGTGCTTTTTGAATTGGCATATTTTGGTGGCCTGTCCTTAATTTTGGTGATAATTCTCACATTGAAAATCTTAGCAGCCCTTACCAGGCCAGATCAAAAGCCAAGGCCCGACTTGCAGCTTCCCTGTCAAGTTCATCATCTGTCATTGGCTCGTACATGAATGCACATGCCACAATTCCTATAAATCCACCTTGTTTTGGCTGCAACAACATCACTTTCATTAATCAAATTATCAAATATAATACTATATACAGGGGCTACCTGAAAGCACTCGCGGTAGAGATTGGTAGCCTTGGCATGTGACAGTAACATGTTGTGCATTGCAATGAGTTGCTCCATGTTAGAATTGCTAACGGAACAGTTTCCATAAGGTTCAGAACAATGAGACGTTGGAAATATCCCCTCTATGTAGGCCAATTCTACGAATAAGTTAGGCTCATTGATTGTGATCCAGTACTTCACTCGATCCCCAAAGTTCTTAAAACAAGTTTCAGCAAAATGTACAAAATCTTCCCTACAAAAACACAAACATATATAGGCAGAGATTTTAATGACAGTTCCTCCAAAGTAAAATATATTAAATTCTAGGGAATAACTTAATTCAGAAAAAATAAGTACACAAATAAAACCACATAATGCATTTTGGGTACTTCTCTGTGATTTAATTTTGTGTAACTAGAATTGTTGAACGAGAGAGAGAGAGAATTGGGCATACTGCATTAGAGGACTAAGCCAAGACCCATATCTATCCTCGAGTTCTTGGGGGAAGTCGTTATGATTTATTGTCACAAATGGCTCAATTCCTGCATTGTGCATGTATTCTGTCAATGTATATATATATTCTTACAATATGATATAAGACTTTACAATATCACTAAGACTCCAATTAGATTAAAATTTTGTGCAGTACCTTTGAACAAAAGATTGTCGATGATTTTGTTGTAGAACATGACACCAGTTGGATTGACTTCACCAAATCTACCTCCTAATACAGCTCAAGAAATCTTTAATCAAGTTATAAATATGAACCAACCAGTTTATGAATAACTAATATACAGTAACAAGTTGTTTTAGAAGACGAACTAGGTAGAACTCTGGCCCATGAGATTGAGAATCTGTAAGCATTAACCCCTAAAGAGTGCGTTATCTCAATGTCTTCCTGTGATAATCAGAATATAACAAAATTAATTTCAATCTCTTTTTTCAATGTTACAGACTAATTATGAAATTAATGCAAGTCTAATACCAAGTAGCGGCGATAATGATCATTAGCAACATCTCCATTTGCTCCATTTCTTTGGCCATCTAACAGAATTCAACAAATAGTTGGTCAAAATCCAATTATGTTACAGTTAGCTTTTGCTGGCATTTTAGATGAGACCTTTCTTCAATTACCTTGAATGTGAGTGAAATTATCCCAGTTGCTGAGACTCGTACCATCTTCAAAAAATGCTCCTTCAATCTGTGCCAACAATATGGCAAAAGACTAAGGAAGAGAGAGAGAGGGAACACAATTTACACAATTTAGAAGGCAAGAAGAAGAAGAGACATACTTGGTATGAAGAAGTGGATGTTCCAAAGAAGAAACCATGTGGGAATTTTGATCTTTTGATGTCTTGTGCTGTCAATTCTTCATTGAAGCTCGCAACAAAAGAATGAATAGATGATAAAAGGAGGAGAAGCAAACAGAGGTAGAAATGGGTACTGTTCACTTCCATTTTGGATTGTTTTAATTTGTCAAGATTTCATGATCAGTGTAACTAAAAACAACAAAATTATAGACATTCTGGGCGTTGGCTCAGTTACTATATATTTTCTTCATAGATTTGGAACAGGGCAATGATAAGTGAGTGCTACCACCTGTAGCCTGTAGTGTAGTGTGGGACCCATGTTGATTGTGTTCAGAAACGTGCTGCCTTTTTTTATTTTGTTTTTTAGATTTCTTTTTTGTATTTAAGTAAATTTTTTTTAGGGAAAATACATTTCAGTAGTGCAGTGATTTTTTTTATTATTATTATTGTTTTCATGATGTAAGTTTTTTGTGTGGATGGTGCAAATTCATCATGTGTGTTAGAGGAGAAGTTGCTTGGTAGTCTTGAGACACTGCCACGTTGTGTCCTTAGTGTGTTGTGATTAATGGAGAGGACGTGGTCCACAATGTTGTTGTGTCCTTAGTGTGTTGTGATTAATGGAGAGGACGTGGTCCACAATGTTGAGTGATTAGAAAATATAAAAGGTATGATAGATTGTGATTGACCAGGGGCGTGGCCACATGAGGCCCCTAGACCAAAAAATAATTTTTTGTGTCAAAATTGAACCACAAAAAATTTCATTTATAGTGCGATTATTTTTCAACTATCACAATGTGACTGATTTGCTATTTCCCTAATTTTTTTTTGTACATATATCCATAAAATTATTATGGAAATCATGCCGGTCTTGTCTTTGTCATGATTAGACAAGTTTAAACAAAAATATATTATGTCTCAATCAATAAAATTAATTATGATCCAATTTCCAAGGTCTATTAAAGGATCTCTGCTATTATTATTAGGGCAAATTGCATGGACCGCTTGACAATTACTATTGCCTCCTTATTAGGGATGGCAATCTTCTGCTATTATTATTAGGGCAAATTGCATGGACCGCTTGACAATTACTATTGCCTCCTTATTAGGGATGGCAATCTGACCCCGACCCAATGGGGACCTAACCCCCTGACTTCAATTTGAGCGATTTTTTCCCAAAAAATATTCTTAACGGGCCAGGAATGATATTAGAAAATGAATTTCCGATGATATTCAGGCCGGGGACGAGGATACGTTTCCCAGCCTCAGACCCGGCCTGACCTCGACCTCGACCCCGACTCCGCTCTGTTTCTCCCGATATAAAATGACTACTATGCCCCTGTCTATATATATGTGTGTGTTTAGGGTTTGGTTGACAGAGACACAAACAGATCACCTCCTCCCTCTCTCTCACACACGGCTGCTGCATCCCTCATCGTCGATTGTCAAAGGTCTATCTGTCTCTCTCTCTAAACTAATAATCGATCTCTGTTTTCTTCTGTCAAAGAGTCGATCTAGTGGCTGCTGCTCTGCTCCCTCACCGCTTCTCCCTCACCACCGATTTTCAAAAGGTACACTCTCTATCTCTTTCTCTCTCTCTCTAAACTAATAATAGATCTCTGTTTTCTTCTTTGAAAGAGTCGATCTAGCGTTTTCGATTTAGGGATTTCGAACTAGGATTTATATATATATCTAAGTGTACAATACATGAAGATTGAAGAGTGTTGATTTACAATGTGAGAAAGAAAAAATGAAACCTTTTCTTTGCTTTGCTTGGGACTGAGCTGTGTGTATATATAGACAGGGTTACTCTCTCTCTCTCTCTCTCTCTCTTTTTCAGTTCCAGATGATGGAAGTTGGGTTTTCCCTTTTTTTTTTTTTTTTTTTCTTTTCTTTTGGAGGGCAATGTGAGTGTGTTTGTGTTCTTCCTAATAATTGTTTTTTTGTACTGCTTTAATTCATGTATGTTTGTGATTTTTTTGTTTAATTGTGGTTGATTTTCTATCTCATTATTTAAAATACATGTTTGTAGATGGAAGATGTGGTATCGTTTGGTAATACTTACGTTTTCAGTTTTCAATTTATATTTACAAAAATTTAAAAAACTCAAATAAAAACTTATTTGGTAAATTTTTGATTTATAAATCAATGGTCTCAGTTTATAAATTTGGCCAAAAAATGTAAACTCAAAAAATGAGTTTACGTTTTGAGTTTTTTTTTTTTTACACCCAATCACTAGCCACACCCGCACAATTTCCACCACAGCTTACTGCCCATCATCCACCACCCAGCGCCACACTATTCGATCACTGATCACTGCTCCCCAAATTACTGTCACAACCACTTGCGCTCATACGCGTATCTACAGTCAAGAGACTACGCACTACGCTCGGCCGCAACCACACATGCTACCGGAACACCTCACCGAGCCGCCGGCCACCTCCACCTGCACATGATAAACTTCCCCACCACCGAACCGGCACGTTTCGCATACCCCAGCCTTCTGACACCTCGAGACGTCCCTCGTTTCCGTGTTCCCGGACTAATCCTATCGAACACAATGCAACAAACATGGCATGCAACAAATGCACTCATAACGCATTACGCAATCCTAATGCATGTAACCTAAGTGATGCACGCAACTACGCGCAAACGACTCCACCTGTAACCGACCACATGCAAACTGCAACTAACCTGTACTAACACAATGCAAATGAACTAACAATGGCAGTACTAATGCACGTGATGAGCCTAAAGCTTCTACGCATCGCCAAATACCATCCACCGCCTGCAAAGCACCTAAGAACTAACATACACAATGAGATGAAGCAAGGCATGCCACTAATGCCACATGATGCACTCCAAGTCCGGAGCACAATGGTGGCATATCAAATAGCTATGGAAGATACCACAACTGTGCGTATACACTCAACTGCAAAACATGGACTTAGAACCAAAACTAAGAATGCGGCCTCAGCACACTATAATCAGTGGCCAAACATCGACAAATCGAACGCCAACAAGACTCAAAGGCTCCATGCTAGCGTACAACAATGCATGGACCTAGCAGAGGCAAAACACTGCAACTCTAATTAACACAAGCATTGAAAGGATGAATATTGCATAAAATGACACATGTTCCAGCTCTGAATGAACATCCAAATGGCTCCAAAATCAATGATCAAAAGACCACGCACCATCACCCACCAACTCGAACATGATCAAAAAGCCCAAGTACAACATGAAGCCCACGCTCGAAGCACATTACCACACTCAGAGGCACTAACGCGATAGAATGCTCAAACTACTGACAAAACCACTCCAAACACGACCATACTCAACGCAGGCCAAAATATGTGGCAAAATGAGCCACAGCATGAACGCTGGCTTAAAAGAAGCATAAACGCACAATGAGGCTGCAACATGCAAGACTCAATAAACACTGGGTTACGACCTAGTTACTCACTCAAACACATGCACAGGCAGAGTATAGACAACATGAGAATAATGGCCAAGAATAATAGACTCTGAAATATCATGCCACATGATGCTAAAACATGCAAACACCTCAAATTAAGCATGCAAGGCATTCGAAAAACCTTCTACACGCACCTAAAGACCAGGCTAACCTTACACTGCAACCATTACATGGCAATCATCATTCGACGACACCACACCGCCACCAACCAAACCACCAACCACACGCAAGGGACCTCCAGACACAGAGTGACAAAGGCCAAGCCCAAAATATTAAACAAAAATCAGTTTGGCAGCAATGGCCAAAATATGCTAGCATGAGAGGGTCAAAACAACATCCATTGATAGGCTAAGTGAACACACGATGATTTAACACTACAACGCAATACATGCGCACTCACGTATCCTGTAGCAAGCGCTACCAACCCAGCCAAAAATAGAGGATCCAATCGCGCATGCCAAATGATGGCCCACACACAACCACACAAAACCCCACTAGATAATCATCGCACCTAACATTACATGTCTACAGAAAAACTGGAGGTGATCTTACTGTCTTTGTGACTGGCACCTATGCAAATGGGATCTTGTTCTACAGGCATGCAAGCAGGCACGACAAACAAGATTCATTGTGACCACCAAAACCAGTCCCTATAGCCCCAGGTCCAGACCAAGGATCTACCGAGGTCCTAAAGAATACAATAACAAAATATGTCGAGCCTGAACCACAAAACGGCTGCCAAAAGTGGTGACGATATCATCATTTTCATCTTCGAATTCTTTTTTTATATTTTTAAATTTTTTTAAACATTTTTGTCTAAACCAAACGCGTTTGTAGTTTATGTTTTTCTAAAAATAAACAAAAATCAGTTTATAAAATTTTTATAAATATAAACTGAAAACGCAAACATTACCAAGTAGGCCCATTATGTCTCAATCAATGAAATTAATTATGATTCAACTTCCAGGGTCTATTAAAGGATATCTTCTATTATTATTAGGGCAAATTGCATGGACCCCTTGACAATTACTACTGCCTCCTTATTAGGGATGGCAATCTGATCTCGACCCAATGGGGACCTGACCCCCTGACTTCAATTTGAGCAATTTTTTTCCCAAAAAATATTCTTAACGGGCCGGGAATGGTATTAGAAAAAGAATCTCCAATGATATTCAGGCCGGGGACGAGGATACGTTTCCCATCCCCAGACCCAGCCCGACCTCGACACCGACCCCGACCTCGACCCCGACCCCGACCCGCCCTGTTTCTCTCAATGTAAAATGACTATTATGCCCCTGTCTATATATATGTGTGTGTTTAGGGTTTGGTTGACAGACACACAAACAGATCGCCTCCTCCTTCTCTCTCACACACGGTTGCCGTGTCCCTCACCGTCGATTGTTAAAAGTCTCTCTCTCTCTCTCTTTAAACTAATAATCGATCTCTGTTTTCTTCTATCAAAGAGTCGATCTAGTGGCTGCTGCTTTGCTCCCTCACCATTGCTCCCTCACCACCGATTTTCAAAGGATACTCTCTTCCTCTCTTTCTCTCTCTCTCTAAACTAATAATCAATCTCTGATTTTTTCTTTGAAAGAGTCGATCTAGCGTTTTCGATTTAGGGATTTTGATCTAGGGTTTACATGCATATATATATATATATATATATATATCTGAGTGTACAATACATGAAGATTGAAGAGTGTTGATTTACGATGTGAGAAAAAAAAAATGAAACCTTTTCTTTGCTTTGCTTGGGACTGAGCTGTGTGTATATATAGACAGGGTTA